CTCCAGATGTCTGGTTCCGAAACCCGGACACTACTTGTGGAATTTTCGATGGAGAAAACCAAAACATTGTCACCACTTGCGGTTGAGTGCGAATCTCCCTCGGATCTGTGAGTGCCTGGGTTCATAGTGGGGCCATTTCCTGTCGAGGGAACGGAAGTATTTACTATGAGGTGCAGATGTATAAGAACGGAAACAGGCGGCTCACAGCCCCGACGTGGCGGATCTTAACGGGGAACCATATTCAAATAGCTGTCGAATTTCGGTCTTGGTCCTCAACAGACAGGTAAGATTGAACTAGAAAATAAGGAAATCAATATGCAGTAGTCACCAAACTTCGAGAAATTGTATCCTCCCATCAGGAAAGTTTGTAACCTCCTATATCTAAGAAATCATTATGTCGAATTATAATGATATAGAAATGATATAAAGGCAAATATCACTTGTTCCTTCTTTTATTTTCTTTGTTCTTATATTTACCCACGGTAAAAATTAGGTCACATTTTTATTCTTATAATGAATACATAAATAATATTGTCAATGTTATTTTTGCCTGTTTAAATGTTTTTATTTAATTTAATCAAATCACAATGCCTCATCATGTTTTTTTTTCAAACCAAAGAACTTCAGTATTACAGAGCACAACTTAAAGGTACAATATGCAAGGCAATAATTTCTAAAATAATTTATTTCCCTAACTATTGTTGTTGCTGTTGTGCACATTACTGCAGCGTCAAAATGTGTGAAAATAAAAATGAATGTCAGAATGACAACATATTTTTGCTTCATGGTTTCTCATTAACTTTGAGCGAAAGGTTTAAAGAGAGAAATTTACCAGCCCACCTGCAGCATTCGGTAGAAACAAAAATCCTTCATCAAAATTGTTGCGAAAGCGTATTCGAGTGTCATGTGAATTTTTTGATCTCTAAAACCGTTGTATATTCATATCGGGAATTCTAAAAGAAAGGTTCTCTGTGGAACGACAAAAATGTGTTATCCACGTACAACTGTCTTAACTTCGTGCAATCCCGTAGGTGGTAAATATGCTGCGTTAACAAAAAATAGTCGACGCTGCCCCCTGATGCTTGCACACCGCATGGCAAAACATCAGGTATTATGTAGTTACTCATTTGCATACAAAGACAGCGGAATTTCCTTTCACAAGACCCTCTTCCCTTAGCGCCGAATTCGTGATAAATACCCACCACCACCAGTCGTCGTTCTGACCCTCAAAAACACCGACAAATGAACGCACATTTTTCAGTTTTTTGCTCACTGTTTGTTACATCTTTTGATTAAAATAAAATAAAATGCACACGGTAAGCAATAAATATGAGAGAATATCTCTTAAAAATCTTTCAGGAAGGGAAGTTGTTTGTTTGTCCTGTATCGAGATGTTTGCTTGTCTGTGATACAGATGTGATATAATGTTATTGGAAGAACGCTAAAACGACACTGAAACAATTAATTTATCGTAGGTATTCTTGAATATTGATTTTTTTAATAAAAATAGTTCCTAATTTTTTAGTTTGGTATTGAAGATAGTTAGATATTTTAGATGATATTTTCGTATTGCTTTTTCTAAAATAGTACCTAAATAATTAGTTTTCTAATTTAATTTTTAGTATTACTGAAATTCGTATTGTGTCACCATTGATTTTGAAACATAGATGTTTAATACTGATTGTGCAAATAAAAATCTCCTTTATAAGAATGATTTTTTGCGAAAATTATTAAGAAAGTTTGATGAAATTTATTTACTCAGAATATAGTCTTCTTGACGAATTTAAGAACTCGAGGACTCACCATGTAAAGAAACTATAATATTATGAAGTACATCGGTGGCAAAAGTACCAATAAGAAATATTAATAAGATTTACATTATTTTGATCGATCAAGAATTAATCAATGTCATTGATTCTCAAAACAAGTTCTTTCGAGTTTTTGCGTTTGCATGGTTAGTTTACTTTTCGACACGACAGAAAAGAGTCCTTCATTCGTTGTATGTGTCAGTTGTACTTCAAAAAAATCCATTTAAAAAAAGCTTAATCTACAAGTGAAAACATTTGTATGGAAAGGAAGTAAATGAAAATGATTTATGCTTTCCTCTACACCCTTTCGATCGAAAAAACAATATTCATGGCGGTTGAATAAAATAACGGCAACATTAGATGCAAAGATACGTTTCAAGATCTCTCGCACAGAACACCGCGTTTGATTCCACTTTGATTTATGTGCGATCGATAATAATTTTATATTTTGCATCGCGCGCCAAGAACAGCAAAAAGCACTCTCAGATAATACAACCACATTAGAACACTAATTAGAGTGGTTCCTGACGTGAAAACTCTCTCACTCAACCAAAAACATTGAATCTTGCACGACGGAAACGACAAATAAAAACTAACTTTAAAGAAAAGAAAGCAAAAAATATAACTAATGGCCTAAACTGAAGTAATAGTATCTTTAAAAAGTCCTACGTAACATTTTTCTACCACGATCCTAGGACAATTTGTAAGCAGTGTATTACCCTCAAATTTTAGGAACATTGAAAAATTATTAATTCACTAGTCAACTACAATTGATTTGAAATTCCACTTACTTCGTTAATGAAATAAGATTGAAATTACACCTAATCAAATAGAGTAAAATGCTTTTGACTTCCAATACTAGGAATCCATATCGCGACCATTACTAAACATCAAAAACAGCCACTGGAGGCACCGCAGTGCACATAGGACAGCACCAGGCACTATGTTTTGTCAGCGCGGCCACGCGTCACGATATGTGTATCGATGCCCACATAAACAACAATTTTCTACGTAGACTTGCAGCACTTCATGACGATACTAAAGGAAGATAATCGTTTATGGCTATTCTCTTATTTTAAACTCAATCGTTGAGACATAAATACTAGTGCCTTCAGCAATGACACATCATTCCCTAGACGCTTTATATTGAACGTGTACAGTCGACAGACATATGTGTCTATTTACAAAGTGCTCGGTGAGAGATAATCATACAGCAGAGATACAAATCCTTTAATGTTTGGAAATCTCACCTAAATCAATAGACAGCGAGAATAACCTGTCTTATCCTGCCATGTGTTTATAAAATGGAAACCTATAATATGATTGGGAAGAGAAAGTTGCTGAGAAACAAATATGGTATGAGCAACGTCAAAACCTCAAAACTGTGGTTCATGAGTATCTCTCTCAAGTCCATATAAATACCGAATGCCCAACTATTTATTGTCGTATTGTCATATTAACATGTCATCAAAATGGTGAGGTTCGTTACGACTTACATTTTTGGTATTGAGCTCTCAACCGGATGACTGTGTCCCTCTTCTTCCAGCTGGTGACCTTGAGGAGACCCTACATTTCGTTCTGACAATAGTTGCACATATACTTTCTACCTTACATCTACATCGAGATGTATGTACTTTTTAAATTAATTAAAAACTAATGAATCTATTTAATGGGGTAAAGTAAAAATTGTCATTCAATACTTGTTCAGGGCTGACACAACGTAAATTTGAATAAAGGAACGTACTGAAAATATCCTTAAATTGAAACAAAATAAAAGAACGTTTATTCATAATCAAAAACTTACACATTATCATTTAAACGAAAATAATGACGATGTGTCTAAAATACCGATTCTTCAGGTCATCAGGTATGTCTTCAGGTTTCAGAACAGACTACCTCCTTCATTCAAATTTAATTCCATACAGACGATCAATTGTTTTCAAGTATAATAAGTAGCTATAAGTATGATGAATCCTCCCAAATGTTTTAGTCCACTCAATTTCTCACAGTACTGCCATAAATTAATACTCCGTCAATATATAACGTACTTCACTTCAAATGGTTTACTGAACTATACACGTCTGCTAAGCGTTAATCACAGCCCCAAAACGTCTGGCCCAACTTATTTCTACCCTTAAGGACGTTCAATTCCTTTCCGTTTGTTTATTATCGCACTTTCTCTTAAGTAGGCAGTCTCCATGTATTCATATATTGCTAATATTGATTTCCTATTCTACTGGTCCACGACTATACTTTATTTTTTGTTCGAGAATCAATCATGGGAGAAATATAAGTAACATACAATTTCGACTCGTTACAGTAGTAACTGTGCGGCCTTTCGCAGCCTTCAACACACTCGCAACGTCAGGTCACGTAAGACATCGCCAAGCGACCACGGCGCGCATCCGTGGGTATCGCCACCATCAGTACACGGCGCTCGCAATCTGCGTCGCCCGCCCGCAGCGGGCCGGGCCGGGCCGGGCCGCGCCGCGCTGGGTCGGGGCGCTGCGTGGGCAGGGCGCTGCGGCGCGCTGGTGGCGCCACCGGACGGGGCGGCGGCGCGTGAGGGCTGCGGCCGGGGGAGAGGAGGGGGCAGCGGACGTGAGTTATGCTCGCGTGCGCGCTAGTTGGCTGGGTTGGGCGGGCCTTCTCGTTCCCTGCCACCCCCCCCCCTCCACGCACAGGACCCCTCCCTCGTGGGTGGGTGAGTGGTTGACGTGGGTGGGCGAACTGTTGGCTGAGCGGGTTGGTCGGAGGTTTTGGCGAGCGGGCTCGCGCTGCGATGCTGTTTTGAGCGATGCTGTTTTGCTGTTTGAACCTGATGGGACAATGTGACTGTCACATTAAGTATTTGTTCTCACCAGTGCACGGAGATGCTACGCCCATAACGGGATGTTCATGAGTCAGTAGTACTCGTGGATCCGTTTCCATGGTTTCTCCACTTTAACTTGAATTTTAGATACGGAATTTTCCGGCGTGAATTTTCCGGCGTGAATTTTCCGGCGTGAATTTTCCGTAACCCATAAGAGTGAAGGGTGCCTCCTACATTTCTGCTGCGTACTTGCCTGTGAAAGGACGGCGCGATCATAGACTTGCATACGAAGAGCTTCTATGTGCACCCTACTAGAGTCCCTACATTCAGAGAACAGTTTTTCATATCTTATGTTGGACTACACACTCAGTGCGTCACTGTTATGACACCAGTCGACATGGGACGAGAAAGAAAGAAGCTTCAGTATTCACCGTCCCCGTTTCTGAACACAAAACAACAACAGTGAATTTTTGCTGTTCGAAGATCCCATATCCTACACATTCAACAAAAGAATTTTTGCTGCTGCGGACCTTTAGTTAAATATATTTTTAAAATTATTGCTATGACCTAATACATAAATACGCAATGTACACATGAAGATACTGACTATTCAGTTTTCGAAACTATTTTGTAAAAGAAACCTTGAATATGAAACACTAAACGAATCTAAATGAACTCACTGCACGGTGTGAAACGCATCTCGTCCAGAGGCAACGGCAGAAACCGCTCCGAAGTCACTCAAACAGCGAAACATCCGTGAAAACATCGCTTTGATACCACGCAAACGGAATGAATAGAACCTCAAAATATCCGGAATAAAACAACACGACATCGCGGCCACTAACTTTTCAGCCGGCGAGGCAGCGGCGGGGGCGACGCGGCACTGGCAACAGGTACAGTGGGTGCAAGCGACTCTGAACCGCATGCGGCTACAGCTTTCGTTATGTTGTTTCCGGGCGCATTTATAGGACTAATGCCATTAGTTTTGTAAGTGTAGGGCGTGTTATGTCCCGGGAGTTGGTAGTTTTCCTTTCCACCTGAATCGTGAGATCCACTGAGGACGTACATGCCTACTTGCGGACTTTCTCTCTCCTGGTATCTCCATCAGCAGCTTGCCTTGCCAGGATAAGCTGAAAGGTCCCGACTGATCCCCTGATAAGTGCTATCAAATAGTTTCTTTACATGTGTTTGCGTGTGTGTGTCAGTGGGGAGAAAAAAGGGTTCAAGGGTGACAATAGAACGATCGCACACGGTTAGTAGCCTGTTTGTTAATATACAATTCCGATTTTTACCTGGCATTGATCGGAATAAACTCTGAAACCTACCGATCAGAGCAGCCAATAATTAGAATTCTTCCCCATACAGTAGCTGAATTCCCCTTAGCTCTGTAGTTATTGAAAATACGTCCCCGTCGGGATTCGAACTCTCAGATCCTACAGTCACAACCGCTGCAATGCGCGCACCTGTTTCTTACCACATCTCATCCACTGTGAGACCCTGCGGCAAGGATGAAACAACGTAATCATTCAACAAACCAATCATCAGTTAACAATCTCACCACATGGCGGTAGCGAAAGCGGCCCTAGAGCAAATGATTAGGTTGGAGTTCCATAAGAACGCTATTGTAAAAATGTAAATAAACCACAACAAACGTACTTTAGTCTTACCATACATATCCTCCTTTTTTCATGAAATTTCAAAATAATTAGCAATATCAAAGTAGTTTAAGTGGAAACAACATTTCCTCACCAACAACGCTTTCATTTTAAATCTCCTGCTTCGGTTTAGTACTTTTGGTTATACTACGTAATTTACTGGTAAATTATTTCTCAGTTAGCGATTTTGTTATACTAGTTTATTTGAATGACAAAACACAATCGGGCGTGTGGGTGATTCACGCCCCCTGGCGACCCGTCGCGTGCGGGCGGCCCAATGTGCGCCCGGCCGCGGGTCAGGACGGGAAGTCGCCGG